TGGGTATTCCCTCGGTGGTTTTGGCCGCGCAGTCTTGTTTACAAGCAGGTGCGCAGGGAATTACGGTGCATCCGCGTCCCGATGAGCGCCATATTAGGCGTCAAGACGTGCAAGAATTGGCGCTATTGATGCAAGACTGGCCAGGGCACGAATTTAATATTGAGGGCAACCCTTTGCACAATCTAATGGAATTGGTGCAGGAGTTTAGGCCGCACCAGTGTACTTTTGTACCCGATAGCCGCGACCAAGCCACCAGCGACCACGGTTGGGATTTATCGCCTGAAAACCCTGAATTAGGGAAAATATGTCTATGTATATCACAGGCCAAGTCTCTTGGGGTGCGCGTGAGCCTATTTATGGATGCACAAGCCAACCAAATGCCACTAGCACACGCGGCGGGAGCCAATTGCGTGGAGCTATATACCGAGCCCTATGCCCGCGCTTGGGGCTTGCCGCATGCAACGCAGGTTTTGCAAAACTATGCCCAAACCGCCGCCTTGGCCCACAGTCTGGGTTTAGGGGTAAATGCTGGACATGATTTGAATTTGCATAATTTGAAAGATTTTCTAGTAGCTTGCCCGCAAGTAAAAGAAGTATCCATAGGACATGCGTTTATCGCTGATGCGCTGCAATGGGGTTATAGCGAGACCACGCGGCGGTATTTACATGCAATAGCGAGTTCTGAGACTTTTTTGGCGGCCACATGATAGTAGGAATAGGCAGCGATATTTGCGACATTGGGCGAATAGCCAAGGTCTATGCCAGGCATGGCGAGCGTTTTGCCAGACGGATTTTAGGGCCTCATGAGTTTGCCGTGTGGCTGCAGCGTAGCCTGCGCAGTCCTGAGCGCGGAGTTCGCTATTTGGCTACCCGTTTTAGCGCCAAAGAAGCGTTTAGCAAAGCTATAGGCTTAGGGATACGCAGCCCCATGCGCTGGAGAGATTGCGAGATAGTGAGCCTGGCGAGCGGGCGTCCCGTCATACAATGCCACGGCGCACTTAAGAGCTGGATGGAATCACAGCAATTGCAGGCAAGTGTAAGCATGAGTGACGAGCAAGACTACGCGCTAGGTTTTGTAATCGTAGAAAAACAGCCCAATTTGACGCCTTAGCCAAGCAAAAACAAGATAATGGCCAAAAACACTCGCCAACCCGCATAAACACTGGGCTGGAGCCACAAAAAGACCCCAAGTCCACTTTATGCCTTAAAGCGTCTCCAGCCCAGTGTTTATGCGGGTTGGCGAGGTTTTTAGGCCTTGTGCGTGAGTTTTTAACTTGGAGCGTAAATTTTCCCCTCAAAAGGGCATTTTTGGCATGCCGCCTTTCATCGCGCCCATTTTGCGCATGAGTTTCATCATGCCAGCGCCTTTCATCTGCTTCATCATACCTTGCATTTGCTCAAACTCTTTGATAAGGCGATTGACTTCTTGCACATGCACGCCGCTGCCAGCGGCGATGCGACGTTTGCGGGTGGCTTTGATGATATCGGGTTTGCGCCGCTCTAGCGGCGTCATGCTCTGAATAATGCCCTCTTTACGGCGTATGTCGCGCTCAGCCCGATCCATGTCCACATGAGCTGCTTTGGCGCTGAGCTGTGAGGGCAATTTCTCCATCAAGCTTGACAGCCCTCCCATGCTCTTCATTTGCTGAATTTGCATGAGAAAATCATTGAAATCAAACTGACCGCCAGTTTTCACCTTGTCTGCCAGTTTTTGCGCCGCAGCGATATCCACATTGGCGCTGACTTGTTCAACCAGAGCCACAATATCGCCCATGCCCAATATGCGCCCTGCATGGCGCTGGGCATCAAAGAGCTCCAGACCATCCATTTTTTCCGAAGTTCCGGCAAATTTAATGGGCACTCCTACGGTCTGATGCACCGACAAAGCCGCGCCGCCCCTGGAGTCGCCATCAAGTTTGGTTAAGACCACGCCTGTAAGGGGTAGCGTTTGCGCAAAGGATTGCGCAGTGCGCGCGGCGTCTTGGCCTTGCATGGCATCAACGACAAATAAAGTTTCTACCGGTTTGAGCAAATCGTGCAATTGGGCAATTTCTTGCATTAGCGCATCATCTATAGCCAAGCGCCCAGCCGTATCTACCAGCAAAACATCAAAATAGTGGCTGCGCGCATAGTTGAGCGCATCTTGCGCAATTTGCTTTGGTTTTTGTGTAGTATCGCTGGCAAACCACTGCGCTCCCACTTGTTCGCTCACGGTTTTTAACTGCGCAATGGCTGCTGGGCGGTACACGTCAGCCGAAACGGTGAGAACT